GTCCAAACGCTTCTTGAACTCCGTAAGTCTTGATGCTGTGACCACTACCCTGGGGAGCCAGGGCTCAACCACCGTCTAGTGGAAGAACCTTTTCCGGGTATCCAACCTAAACCTCCCTTGAGGCAACTCCAGGCCATTCCATCGGGTCCTGTCACTGTCACACAGAGCAGAGATCAGTGCCTGCCCCTTCTGTCCCCTCACAAGGAAGCTGTGACTGCACTGAGGGCTCCCCTCAGTCTCCTCCAGGCTGAACAGACCAAGTGCCCTCAGCCGCTCCTCACCCTTCTCCTCAAGGCCCTTCACTGTCTTTGTTGCCCTCCTTTGGATACTCTCCAATAGTTCAATGTCTTTCTTACACTGTGGTGCCCAAAAGCGCACACGATGTTCAAGCCTGCACCATGAAGTGTTCATTGATCCCAGTGATGGGGGTAGAACCCCAAAACCTTCCAAACATCACCAGCTGTGGGTAAGGAGCAGAGCAGTGGCTGCAGGCATGGCTGGATGGCAGTTATGTGCAGTGAGCCCCATAAAAATTAATAACCAGAAAAGAAAACAAAACACAAGGCCCCTCAAAGAACAAAGGTTAAAGCCAACGTGAGCTGTGAACCATTTGAAAAAATTAAATTTGGGCTCTCATGACCCTGGTGTACTCCCCTCTTCAATGCGTTGGTGGGGTTTCAGTGGGCTAAAAGCCACATAATTGTATTTTATTACTTTTTTGTGTGTGTGCAGCCATAACATGGAGATGGCTGACACAGTAAGTGCAGCTTCAGGAGTGTTGTCACAATATGAATCAAGAAAGCATCAATGAACACAATTTATAAATAATAAACTTGAAAACACATTATTTAAAAATGTTTACAGCCTCTCACTTGGACTCTTTCACTGCCAATCCATAAGACAGGCAATTATAATGGAAAAAACCCCACTTTTCCCCATGTCATAAAGTTGTTTTTATAGAGTGAGGATATAAGATTTTAATTAAGCCCCTTAATAACACCAACCTTAACAGACGCACCAAAAATTGGAAAACATATATTCTTCAAGGAGGTACTTCTTTAGTCAGTTCTGAAACTCAGTTTAGCAGATAAAACTTAAAGTTAGTGTATAAAGTGTTTATTTGCTTATTAAATTATTTTTATTACAAACATTTGCCATCATGATAAGCAGGTGACAGCATGCCAGACACAGCTTGTAATTTATTGCTTTCTTTAAGATTTTCAACTGATATGTTTCTGTACAGAACACACATTTGTCTCTTACGATATGTTTTGACAAACACTGAGCATCTTCAGAGTTTTCTTGTTTAAGCATAAAAAAAGCTTCCCAATCAGTAACAAAGCCTTTGTTGACTTTTCCCAGTCAGATGCCAGCAAGGTAAGGAAGGTGACCRGAAAGTTTTGCTTGGGTTGTGTGAGCCTGGCTATTTTTGTACCTTCTGTTGCACGATTTCTTAGTATTTGTCTTCCCTATTTTTAACTGTGATCAGTTAAAAATAGCAACACTTCTCAGATGACTTTCCCCACATCTGTACAAACAATTAAAATAACTTCCTTTCAGAACAGGGAGATTTATATAATTAACATTTTTAAAAGATTAGCAGTAGAAGCTGCATTGTGTTCTACATGCAACTTCTGTTTGCCTCTTTTTGCGCTCTTCTTGCCAAGTCTGGGTGATGTGACAAGTGGCAAGGAAGGGGTTTACAAAAGATCCAGGGAAAGATTGGTTGTGGGATCAGGATGTACACTCATCTGGGATCAGGATGTACCTATTTCCCAGCACAAGGCATTTCCCAGTGGGTTCCAGCTGTGTAGGATGCAGTGGTGCCCACACAGCTGTGGTGCTCAGCCCAGCCTGCTGCTGGGTGCTGTGAATGAGCCAAGTGCCTGCCCTGGATCTGCGGGCACTGCCTGGGGGATTGGCACAATGCCACACAGAAAATGCCATCARGATTGTTCTTGCTTCCAGCAAAATCCATAACCTATGCAGAGGCAGCAAACCTCGTGGCTCCAGAGACCGAGAATAAYTTGGAGAGCTGTTACCACCCCATTGTGATGTATAAAATTCCCCAAGYCCATTCAAATCTCTTGCACACTGGTGCCTTCTTCAAGCTGTTCATGGCAGTTTCTGCCAGATTTTCCAAGGAAAGGAAGGCAATTTAAACTCAGGCCACATTTTGGCTTCACTCTGAAAGGCTCTTCAGGAACAGAATGTTTTCCTGTAACATCAGAAGGACTGTTCAGAAAGATTGCTCTAAGCCCTGGCTACAAATTCAGGCTGTGCATTGACCCTGTGTCYTTGTACCTGTGACAAGCAGGTTCACTATCACAGCTTGCAAGGGAACATACATGACATACATGTACCTGACAAATACTAAAAAACTCCACAATAAGCTGCCCAAAACCCCCAAAAAGCAGAAGAAAGCCCCCCCCCCAACATTCAGATGCCTGTGTGACTCTAATCCTAGCAGTTTCTTTGTGCTGCTGACCAGATTTCCAAACTGGGACACACATCCTTGAATTTTTAACCATCTTGCATGATTAATTATAAAAACGAAAGGCAACACACACTGCTGGCCATCTTCACTAAACMTTACTTGTGAGTGAAACTTATGTTCTCAGCAGGTTTAACCTAGTAAATGCAGTCAGAATAACCTGGCAATAAAGATAGTGGAATAAGTGAATGATTTCTTTTTAAAAACTGGACTGGACATGCTGTTATTTAAAGCTCAGTTGGCTGGCAAATGCAGAGAAATGTCTTCTCAGAYACGGAAGGGATTTAGGTTCTAAGTCAGTCAAGATCCTGGGCAAGGGCTGTTGTGGGAAGGCACCAGACTCTGACTCTTGGAGATTACAACCCTTCTGCAACAGCCACCACATTGTTTTTGGAGCAGGAGTGAAAGCTTGCAGCAGGACTTTCAGCTCTTTCTTGCTTGCCTGGCAGAGAGAGGCCGTAACCTGAACTGTTGATGCAGTAGGAAGTTCCATGAGGTCCTGACACAGGGCAGTGCAAGGGCAGGCACTGGTCTCTTCGGTGTGGTGACAGTGACAGGATCCAAGGGAATGGCTTGAAGCTGTGTCAGGGGAGGTTTAGGTTGGACACAGGGTAATGGATTCTCCCCCAGAGGGTGTTTGGGCACTGGAACAGCTCCCCAGGAAAGTGGCCACAGCACCAGCCTGACAGAGCTCAAGAAGGGTTTGCACAGTGCTCTCAGGCACGTGGGGTGATTCTTGGACACATTGATCCTTATTGCTCCCTTCCAAATGAGGATATTCTATGATTCTTGTTAAAATGAAGATACTCCTCTATGTAATTAAGATCTTAACAAATACACATCCATGCCATCTCCATATGACATTTTGGATGGTTTACTTATATTGCTTGTCTTCTACCTTCCTTTGCCGTTTTTCTTTGAAAAATATTTGTTTTGAGGTTTAACAAAACTATGAGAATTCTTTTCTTGTTTTTGAACATTATTTAATTCTGCTTTTCAATTTTGTAGTACTCTAACTTGATAACAGCCTCTTTYATCTTAGAATCAYAGAATAATTTTGTTYGGAAAAGACCTTTAATATCAWYAAGTCCAACCATAAATCTTAATTCAWTCATCCTAGTGAAATTTCAGTTATAAATTCCCACCACAATCCATGTATGAGTTGAGAAAGGGGCAGAGAAAGATATGTCTGTTTTCTACATTAACAGGAGTTTAAATTGTCTCTTGCTGAAGAATCAAATTGATACAGAAAGAAAAACCAAGTTYAGGGTGGTGTGAAAGGTGTTTAAACTGGTAAAAACCAAAGACATCACCCAGGTAAGATGCTCTGGATCCACAGCACCTGCATTTTACTTATTAAACCAAACTGATGGCTAGTGTCAGGCCAGGCTGCACATTCCAGCAGGACACATTCCCATGACCCTAGCCTGGAAAAGTAAGGRAATAAAAATAAGAAGTTAACAGGGAGATTGATCTTTCTTGTTCATGTTGTTTACTATATTGTTAATAATGCAAGCTGATTATCCATTAATCTTTTGATCTCAGCTCTGATGAGTTACCAGGCTTGGACTGCAGCATGGAGCTGTGACCGTGACCTCCTGCTATTGTATAAATCCCATCCATTCGTTGGGATGATCTGTGTGCTGTGCCTGTGGAAAACACTTGGATCACAGCCAGAGGGGAGCCAGGGGAGCCAAGCTTGGGGCAGAGCACTGGTCTGGCAGAGCTGAGCTCATCATTCCTTTAGGATCTCCCCTGGAGGCAGCCAGTGCTTAAGCGGTGGGAGCAGAATGCAGGAGGAGATGAYTGCAGTGACTCGTGAACATTCATCTTGCACAGTCAAAATGCTTAAAAAAACCTGTTCAGCTGAATTTGAGGCTTCGTGTGATTGCCCAGGCAAAGAGGGCAGTGAGGGGAACTGAATCTTAGAAAAGCAGAAAGTCTTGCAAGGCACTGGAAGGTTGTCTTCAATGTGATCTGGTGTCTCTCTGTTGTTAAATTCTTGGTTAAAACTTCTCTCATATGCAAGGTGATTTTTTTTTTAATAAAAGTTCTGCAAAGTTTGTGTTCTGAATTTGCTATTTTCTTGTAAGTAAAAAATAAAGGATTTTTAATTATCTGGAGGTAACCTTTTGTTTATTGTATGTC